ATGTTTCTCTAATCCCTAATTTTGAGCCTCATTTTCCGGTTATCATTCATTGTGTTGGCATTAGTTAGAAGGAATAAGGTAGTTTGACATGGTGTTGTGAATTGGGGGTAAATTCATGGTGGTGTTTTAGGAGAAATAGGAAGAATTTCACATTGCACACCAAGTGTTCGACGAAATGCCACATTAACGCATGTTTTGATATTTTGGGCTTTTCACTTATGTAATAGTTTACATCGTTATTATGTAGCGTTTTTGTCGAAAAATCATGTGATATTTCAATAGAAAACATTACCCTAACATTTGAATTCACAAAGGCATTTCATGGTTCAACATATCCACTTTGATCTACATCAAATGCATCTATTGGCTCTCCTACTATATTTAAAATTTTGCTAAAAAAGCAAGTTAACAAACCTGAATTGATTCTTGAGGAGTTCCTTTAACTTGATGAAGGGCCCAAATATTTGGAGACCATGAACCTCTATCGTTCTGGCAGTTGAAGGCTAGTGATATTCCTCCTCGAATGACAGCACCGCTATTCTCCCCCTCTGAGACTGTTGTGTGCAGCAACTCCATTGTGCCTCCGTGCCACATTGGAACCTTGAATGAAGTGATTAAACCACTTGGCAGCATCACATTGGCCATGCTTCCATTTTCGAGCGCCATCCTAATGACACAACTATCGCTAATACCCGAAAAAGTGACTCCGTCAATACAAAATTCACTTGCCAAGCAATCCACATCTATTGGTGGAAATGAGAATGAAGCAACTGTTTGCAATGCTAAATCTCTTTTTCTACTGAATTTCTGCCTTCTAGCCAAGAGAATATAAGGGCGTAAAGAAATGTCTTTGGTTACCAGTTTTATGGTAGAAAGAGAGATGGATGTTGGAAAGGGGAAAGAAGTGTAGATAATGCTCATCATCCGCTTCCACTGTGAATTACTCTTTTACCAGTCCTGTCCAGCACCCGTTGATTCTATAAATGGACAAAATCGAGGGAACTGGATATGTCCTTTATCTTCACTGCACAACTCTACTAGATAATATTTCAATTGGTTGGTTCTGATTCAAACTTCAAAGATATTTTGGAGTATATTTATCTCTATTGTTGTCCTCTAGCTTCGCAAGTTGTAGGGACATTTGAATTAGTCTCTCTCTTCCTCCTCCTTGAAAGAACTTATCCCACGCTATAAGGCAGGGAATGGGAAATTAAGCTACAGCAATACACATTGATCAGCCTTTTCTCTCGCTGGATCGAAATAACTCAACATTAAACATTCAAAATGAGTTCTTAAGAATATTTAAAGGAAAACTCAAGGAAAGAAAAATGTTAACCTAAATTATATATTTTAATGTACTTCTTCCTTTTCTACAACTCAGACTCATATTTATACAGTAGTAAACTCGCAAGAGCACAAGTTTAACATTAATTAATATTTTAGATGATGTGATTGCAAATTATCATGCTCTATAACTTGTTCCCCTCACCACTCCTCACCCGGGTTGACAGTCACAGGAACCAACATTGAAGCAGGGCCAGTGCAGATAAAATAGTCCTTCCATAATTGTCCGATCATGAACCTGGGCTAGACAAATATATTTCGTCAAAACCCATCCTTATTAACCTGAAGAAGAGCTCACGCTCCTGATAGATGGTTTCATTTTTGGAAGGTGCACTTGCATGAATTGGCTTTGATCTTTCCGCTGGTGGGGCAGCATAGATTCTGCTAAGCTTATGCTTCAATTGCTCCCAGCCGAAAGAGAACAAACGAGGATCTTCAGATTTCATAGCTTCAGATGGAAACATGGTTTCAGAAGCTGAGGTCAAATGCGGGTGTGTACAGTAAGAGTAGCCTTACAATCCTTGGACTCCTGTATTGCTTCTTTTCTTCGACTTGAAATAACTCAGTAAAGCAGTGTTGAGGTTGATAGCCTTGTGCCATTATTCTTCACAATAACTGCTGTTGCCAGGGGCGGACCCAGACGACTTGGCTTAGGGGGGCAAAAATAAAATTTACAGGATATCTTCTAATAAAAAAAACTAAGGAAAAAAAAAAGAAAAAAAAAAAAAGCTAAGCAATAATTTTTTTTCCCCAAAATCTAGGGGGTCAATTGCCCCTTCCCCCCAAAACCCCCCCCCCCCCCCCCCTAGCTTAACGGATATAGTGACACTACATAGCTTATTTCAACAGTTCCGCTGCTGCAGCTCAATTCAACCTGCCATGATATGAAAATTGATCTTACCCATTCAATCTCTATATATAATCTCCAATTACAACAGTTGATTTCTTAATCACCACAGAAAATTATATGATCGGATAAGAACTGACTTATGAATTATTGAAAGCATCAGAGGAAAACGAACAGTCTGAGTAAACAGGTAGTGGAAGATCCGATTCCCAGGAAAAAGGCAATAAAGATGCAAATTGTAATAAAACGTATTCCAAAGATTCGAGGAAATATTATTCACTTTGTAACCGTAACAACTGAAATTGATTTCCCAATGATAAAAATTAGAATCATATGAAAAAAATTGCCTGCCCAAAGATGAGTATTAGATAATTAAGACAGACAGTTTCCAGTCACAGAAGAAAGAGTAGAATGAAACAGTACCTGGAAAGCATCAATTGAATCTGAATCAACATCTTTTACTGTCCATTCAGAAGTCTTGAGAGCAGAACTTTTGGAATTTGGTCCAGACACCTCATTGATGACCAAACCAATGCCACCTTTAGTGTTGGTATAACCTGCCCCCGTTCCTTGGCAGGAAGAGTATAGAGAACCTCCTTAACATGGCCATTGGGTATCTGAAGTTTCAGTGAGCTTCCATTTCTAACTGTCAGCTAAACTGTAGGAACATCGCCTGATTCTAAGAATTTAATACCTTTCCGTCCCAACTTCTAGTCAAGAGTCTCAGGAAAAGAGGTGTCCGTGTCTGTTTCTGAGACAGATGACGAAGATCTAGTTACAAAAGCTTTAGGGAGAGAGAAGGATACAAGAGAAGCCATGAAAAGATAAAGTCTAACTAGTGGAATAAATCCATTGCTATTTGATCCTCCCACTCCACACTATACTTGATTCCAAATTACTGGCTAGTTTTCCCTACTATTTTTAGTTTATATTCTCTATATTGTCCGTATTATAGTTTAAACTATTAAACATTCTGAAATTACTCGCTGAAATCTAATTATTGAAATTAATAACATTTCCAATATACACATGAAATGATTTTCCTATCTACTCTCTTTTTCTGTATGCACTACAACAGATATCCTAAAAAAATTTCTTGAGGGAAAACCAATCCAGATATTGAAGGGGGGGGGGGGGGGGGGGGGGGGAGCACCCACCAAGAATAGCAGTTCAAATAGACCTGCTTCCTGCATTAAATTTAAGCTAATCATGGAATGAAAAATAACCTTGGCTTCTCGGACAAATTCTGAAGCAAAAACAAACATAATTTCCAATGAACCAATTAACCAACATAATTTTTAATTTTCAATAAACAAGAATATGCATCTCTCAATGAAGATATAACAATGGGAGATACTCGGGAGGAGACTGACAGCCAATCACAGGATTGTACCCGAGTCAAAGAACATCCGAGGTGTAAAGTATTCTCTGATTTCTGAAAAAGAAACCCCATGGAGATAAAATTAAGCTAAGATAAAAAATACTGAAGGACTACAGCTGTAAGCAGCATATACAACCAACATTTACTTCAGATTTAACAAAAAAAAAAAAAAAAAAAAAAAAAAAAAAAAAAAAAAATTCCTCCACCACATGAAACGGCATCAAGGACAGAATCAGGAAAAGAATAAAGTACAAAAAATTATAAATGGCATTGGCATTAGAGGTCCTTGACTCCCATCAGCCCAAGGATGCTGCATATGCAAGATCTCAAGCCAAGATGTTGCCACCAGAGACTTGGAACCTCATCCATCCCTGCCGGTGGGTCTCTCCTCCAACCACCAGCTGGTTTTGCCATTATAATCTGCCACAGCAACAAAAACACATTAGTGAGAAATGACTAGAATAAAAAAGGATTTAACAGGCCAATGTTAAAAAGAAAAATCTCGGAAAGGAGAAGGTAGGTGAGAAAAATATCATTCCGGACGCAAAAAACTTGAACGTGATGATAAGGATTATGCATACTTGAATCATTGGGACTACAGTCACATTCTTAGCACAAGTGATGCATTCTTCATTTTAATTTTCCCCCAGTTGAATTGGTTGGTTGTTTTGGGTTGTTGTGTGTGTTTGGGTAGGCTGGTAGCTAGTGTGATGAAATTCTTGCTACTTTCTGTACTTTTTGTTTGGATTAATTCAGAGTAAATCTGACAATATATACAGTATATTCTTGCAAAATGAGTGACCAAGTGTTACAAAACTATATCCAGACCTCCTAAAACCTTTACAGACAAGTTCAAAGAATTAGTAGGTTACTTCAAGAATCATCGGCAGGAAACAAAAGGAGGCCCATGCCTGAAAAGTGAGGAAACATTAACTCTTTGGAAGTTCGTAGCAGATGAAAAACGACATTCAAAATATCTCTGTTTCCTTGGGAAGGGGGTATTCAATCTCATCTAATTTGACAATGCCTCGTCTAGAAAACGAATAGTTTGCACAGCGGCAGGTGGAGATACAAAATATACACATTGGCAGTTCCCAAATAACTGGCCAATTTTAGCATTTCTCTTTATACAATCGTAATTGCCTAAATTTGTCAAGTATATAGATTAAGGTAATATAAACTTCCTCCCATTCTCTTCTCTACACCTTTTTGGTTGATGGAAGGTCAGCAAAAACTATGTTTAATTGATCTCGCTTAAGATGTGATGATACGCCAAATAATTGTAATTTCAGCACCCAAATTTCTCACTCAAACATTATACGGGCAGCACATTCATGATATGCAGAGAAAGCATTGCCTCTTCCATGATAAACTGATAGGTTTTATGAAAGGAAAATTTGTGCGCAAGTGAACAAATTAAAATATGTACCAACGTTATTAAGAAAAGAGAAAGCATTAATAACTGATATTAGAATTGAATGTGCTCCTCTACCATATCCGTACAAATAGAATAGCCCATTTATACAGAATGGTAAAGAGGTCCTATATTATCATCGACCATAGGAATGAAAGGTCTTAGCCTTTGCTTGGCAAGCTGTTGTAAGTTTTCGATGAGATCCTTAATAATATCCTAGAAGATTCATGATTTCTTCGAGAAAAAATTCTCTAACAATTGATAAACTCGATTCATATACTTCTACTTCTCTTGATCGAAATAAGAGAATTGGATTTACTTTTAAGAATTCTTCTCTTATTTAAAAAAAAAAACGACACTTTTGAAGTTGATAAACTGGGTAGATATGTAAAAGATATTATTTCCTTTCCAGCACTTTGGCATGTGTCAAAAAAATATTGTGAAATTTCATGGCAAAAAGCCTGGTCTACTCGTAGCACAGTACAAGCCACATCAGCTGCATACTTGAGAGCAAAATATCTGACAAATATGCAAAATATGAATATGGGTCAACCATCAACTACTGAAAGATAAGAACAACTCAACTTGCTTGATATATTTGAACATTTGATTATTTAACTCCTAACAGAAATAGACTGTGCTACTATCAATCTGCAAACATATAAATTATATCAATTCACTTACATTATCAATCAGGCGCTGGTAACGCATGTCATTTCAACCATATGCATTTCAAAGTCCAAATTATAATCCACATACAAAACCAACTTACATGGTTATGTAGAGATCCATATATTCATTGTAGACACATCCTTGCAGACACCTTCCTTTAAATCAATACCCACTTTGGTGTTTCCAGGTGCATTTTCAGCATATAAAGATGATATGATCTCCATTCCCAGCATTCTCGGCCAAGATTCTGGGCACCATTTCAAAACTTTCACCAAATTTAGCAATTACGTACTGATCTAGTCTGCAAAACGATGAAATGATATAAGATTTTATGTGATAAAGCAGATATGATTCAACCAACCACATTTGTTAGAAAGTCACCAATCATGCATTAAATGATTGAAATTAGAGGTTCTGCAAATCCAGAAAATGGAAAAATCACAAAACACTGAAGGGGACTATGATTGGTACAAGTGGCCACCAACCGCTTATGTGTGATATGCCAAAAGGAGTCTTAATTGGGCCATATGACAGAGACACAAGGATGAGTACCACCATATCATTAAGCAAGCAATTCACACTGCTTCACGACATTGGATAGAAGAAATTTACGCTAGAAATACAATGTTTTGCTTTATCAAATTCAAAATGCTGTACGAGTCAAAGATTTAGTCTCGACCTAGAACTATTTTCTAAACACGTCGTCTGAGAGATACAACCATTTATCGTAGTAAATAAAATAACCAAAATTGAGACCTCAAAGAAAAGAGCATTAGTGAATTCAAGTAGGTGGAAACAAAATAGTACCAAGTTTCTTTGAAAGAAAATTCCTTGAGCCTTCTGGCTAATTCAATTTCAGTAGTTGCAGCTCCAAGTATTATCCGACTGCCCCTGCACATAGCCTAGACAAAAACAGTGTAATGAATTCAGCTAAAATCCTTTTCTTGATCAGGGAATTTGAGCAAAATTTCAACACGGGATAATGAAACAATAAATACTCACCTGTTTTTGGGTTATTTAAACCAATAATAATAAATAAACAACCATTAGGAAATACGATACAGATTATACCTTGTATGTGTTCACCCCATCATCAACTGCTCTTTCAAGATCATCCAATACACTGTCGGTGTTTCCTCGCATAACAATAGTGAAAATAGGATTTCCACCTTGGTCATTTTTTACGACCGTTACCTATAAAATTTTGAGAATATCAATAATGGCATAAGCTATACATTTGAGAGATTGAGACAACTAATGAATCGTCAAACTTTTATGTTTATACCCTAATCCCGCCTATCTCCTTCACCAAAATCGAATCAATATATCCAAGGTCATCTGGGATTGGTTAACTGAGCTTTAACTGTTCTCACATGAAACAAGATTATCAGGCACATGTATAAATCTTATGCACTTTCAAGATCGTCAAATTTACTGTTGGTGCTTCCTCGTAGAACAATAGTGGAAACAGGATTCCCACCTTGGTCATTTTTTATGACCGTTACCTATAAAATTTCGAGAATATCAACAATGGCATAAGCTATACATTTGAGAGATTAAAACAACTAATGAATCGTCAAACTAATGTGTTTATACCCTAATCCCGTCTATTTCCTTCATCGAAATCGAATCAATATATCCAAGGTCATCTAGGATTGGTTAACTGAGTTTTAACTGTTCTCACATGAAACAAGATCATCAGGCACATGTATAAATCTTATGCACTTTCAAGATCGTCAAATATGCTGTCAGTGCTTCCTCGTTGAACAATACTGGAAACAGGATTCCCACCTTGGTCATTTTTTATGATTGTTGCCTATAAAATTTCGAGAATATCAACAATGGCATAAGCTATACATTTGAGAGATTAAAACAACTAATGAATCTTCAAACTAATGTGTTTATATCCTAATCCCGTCTATTTCCTTCATCGAAATCGAATCAATATATCCAAGGTCATCTAGGATTAGTTAACTGAGCTTTAACTGTTCTCACATGAAACAAGATCATTAGGCACATGTATAAATCTTATGCACTTTCAAGATCGTCAAATATACTGTCGGTGCTTCCTCGTAGAACAATAGTGGAAACAGGATTCCCACCTTGGTCATTTTTTATGATTGTTCCCTATAAAATTTCGAGAATATCAACAATGGCATAAGCTATACATTTGAGAGATTAAAACAACTAATGAATCGTCAAACTAATGTGTTTATACCCTAATCCCGTCTATTTCCTTCATCAAAATCGAATCAATATATCCAAGGTCATCTGGGTTTGGTTGATTGAGCTTTAACCATTCTCACATGAAACAAGATCATCAGGCACATGTATAAATCTTATCCACTTTCAAGATCGTCCAATATACTGTCGGTGTTCTGCGAGAACAATAGTGGAAACAGGATTTCCACTTGGTCATTTTTTACGGCCATTACCTATAAAATTTTGAGAATATCAATACTGGCATAAGCTATACATTTGAGAGATTAAAACAACTAATGAATCGTCAAACTTATATGTTTATACACTAATCCCGCCTATTTCCTTCACCGAAATCGAATGAATATATTCGAGTTCATCTGGGTTTGGTTGACTGAGCTTTGACTCTTCTCACATGAAACAAGATCATCAAGCATATGTATAAATCTTACGCACTTTAGTGAAGTTAATCTATGCTTACAAGGGCAACAGAGCCAGCAGTGCGACGAACCGTCGCAGTTCAAATTTCGAGCTGACTTTTAGTACCATCAGCCTGCAAAACAAAGCTTTGATATTCCAATCATATTATTGAAGCACTTTCAATGAACCTGTAAGGAGACAACAGTACACGATCCCTGATTTAATTGACTGATAGGCAGGTAGAAATTAATAATCAGTACCATGTGAGAACGGAGAGCCAAACGCAGTAATTTTGATTGACAAGGATTCTCACAAAACATACATATTAAAGGACGATCTGCAAACATAATTACAGCCGGGCAAAACGAAATAAAGCAACAAACGCTTTTGTTACCTCTGCGTTTTATTTTATTTTATCTGGATTTTCTTTTCTTTTAAAGTCGAAGCAAAAAAAAAAAAAAAAACTATATAGTTTTATTTTTTTTTTTATTTGGTTTTTTTTTTTTTTAAAAATCAAAAAAAAAAAAAAAAAAAAAAACTATATAGTTTTATTTATTTATTTATTTATTTTGATAACTAGGTGTCCCAATTTCCCCAGACTAAATCCTGGACCCCTAGCCACCGGCCCCTCAACGACTAGCGGAAGTAAACCGCAGGTTGTGCCCTTGTTGGATCACAGGTTCTCACCCGGTCTAAACTCCTGGCCTCAAGAGAGCTTTCCTCCATAGTGATTAATCCACCAATAAATTGCCCCTTTATTGGATCAAAGGTTCCCACCAGGAATCGAACTCTTCACGCTGAGGTTGCGAGCGCGCCAAAGGTGATTGATCCACCAACTCGGATATGCCCTGGGGGCAAAAAAAAAAAAAAAAAAACTATATAATTGGTTAGATGTCTCATTGCTTTGGCACTTTTAATTTTAGTCTGAGATTAGTGCTATTATTTTGTGATTGCTACTTAATTAATATACAACTCCTGTTAATTAATATACAACTCCTGTTTCAGCTCCATTAAAATCAAAATTTTTGAAAAAAATGTATTTTGAAATAGTGATTTTTTGGAGAATGTGTCGTTAAAATTAAGGATTTTTTTTATTTACATATAATATTATTTTATGAGAGAATGTATGGTTGAAAAAATATATTTTTTGAAGAATGAACCCAAATAGGGGCATAGTTGCTTCTTCAAACACAATTTCACACATGTTTTTAGTTGCAATCTAGAATTTTAATTCTGTTGAAATCAATGAAGGCTTTTTAGATGTTTTATGTTTTAGATAAAACTATGAGTATAGTTCTATATTCTTATGACTTTTTGTATTATTTTATCTTTTTATATTGAGGCTTATGCCTCACCTCATAGAGGCAATATGTCTCAACTTTGCTTTTTCGAACACTGATCTTGATAGAAGTTCAATGTTACCCATTTTTAGTAGAAGATTGAGTCCTACCTCGATCACCCGACTAATCTAAATGTTAGGTTTTTAATTATAATTGGCATTCTATGAACAAAAAAGGACTTAATTAAACATGTCTAAAAGTCAAGGCGTGAAGTGCAATATTATATACTTGAGTTGGGCTAGGGTTTGAGCTTGGAAAATTATGGCTCATAAGTTAAAATCTATTTATATAGACACGTAGATGAACTAAAAAAAAGGAAAAGAGGGGCGGCCCCAATATATTCATGTATACGTCTACAGCCGAAAAATAGAAGAAAAAAGGGTTGCTTGCTGCTGAAGAAAATAACATAAAGGCTGCCTGCTGTGAAATATATCATATACATATACAAATTATGCTAGTTTTTCAAGAGTCAAACATGGTGGCTAAACTATATTATACAAACAAGAAAAAAGGCGACTGTATGAGGAATTAAAAGATAAAAACTATAGAAAAGGTGGCTGAAATTGTCTCATATATGTACACAGGAATTGAGGAAGACAAGGTGCTGGCTACTAGTACATACAAACACGAAAATTGAGGCAAATTTGAGGTAATATACAAACACAAGAGATAGCCACTTGGAGTTCGTTTGAATAGTTAAAAATTGAGAACTGCTATCATATATATACACAACACTGTTGGCGGCGGCTTTGGAAGAATTGAGGCACAAGAATTCATGAATTAGGAAATTGAGGCTGCTGAATTATATATATATTTACACAGATTGGAGGCTGGTCTTTTTGGACTGAAAGAAAGGGGAAACCGGAGCAATACATGCAAATATAAACGGCGACTACTGGTGGTTGCTTTTGGATTAGAATTGGATTTTAGAATTAACAATACAAGTGCAGCTTTGGACACATATAAGGGACGGCAAGAAGAATTTTAGAAAGCAGAATAGTGGCGGCAGTAAGGAAAACACGGAGAAGACTCGTCAAACATGACTGGGACAGAATTGGAAAAAGATGGCAACTCTAATTGGATATAAATTACATCCTGTCAACTTATATACATATTGCTTTTGAGATCCAGCAACCAAGTTTTGGAAAACATCAAAGGTCTTGAAGACAAAACACCGGTGCTTCCTTAATCTTGTAAGGAACGGACTCTCTCATTGGGGATCGAGAGAGGTGGACGACAAGCGCAATGAATTGGACAAGAACAGGTGGTTCTTGATATTCCACTTGGTTATACAATCAGCTAAGAACCAGGAGGCTGTAGTGGACAGCAGATTGGATTGCAGGAGGTAGATAGAAAAATCTAGTAGGAGACTAGTTGCATCTACGACAGTAGATCGTGAGACTGGAACAACTGGTCTGATTGGGTATGGAGTTTGGGAACTTGTACTTGCTAAATTGGAATAGTGGAAGTCACTGGCTTGGTCCCGAAGTTTTACCCACATTGGGGTTTCTCCGTCATCATATCGTAAGTTGTGTTTTTACTGTTTTATTTACTTTACGCATTACAAAGAGACAGTTCAACCTTAGGAATTAATTGGACTTGATTGTTTAACCATCTAGACGACTAATAATAAGTGACTTGTTGCTTATATTAGTAATTCTGCAGTAAGACCAAATAATTGTTAATTGGAACGTAAACTTAGTAAGCTTAAAACTTGAATTTGACGTTGCAACGCGTTAGGTGTTTTTTTAAGCGTTACCCATAAATTTTCAAGTGGTATCAGAGCTAAAACTCGAGTCCTGACTCATTGTTGTCTAGATGAGTCAATCACTGTTCGTGCCTCCGTATTTTGACGAAAGCAACTATGCCTACTGGAAGGTTAGGATGCGTGCTTTTCTTAAATCCTTAGACGAACGTGTTTGGGTGAGTGTACAAAATGGTCGAAAACCTCCTTCTACAACTGTGTCAGGTGTTGTCAATCTAATTGATATTTCACTTTGGACTAAGGAAAAATTAACTGATTGCAATTGGAATAGCAAAGGACTTCATGCCTTGTTTATGACCGTGTCTCCTGAAGAATTTATGAGAGTATCAATGTGTAACTGCTAAAGAGGTATGCGACATTCTAGAGACTACACATGAGGGAACTAAAACTGTAAAAAATTCAAAATTGTAAATGCTAACCTCTAGGTTTGAAGAAATCAGGATGAAAGATGATGAATCATGTGATGAGTTTTATGCAAAATTGAATGACATTGTAAACTCTAGTTTCAACCTAGGTGAAAAGATTTTCGAGTCAAAAATTGTGAGAAAGGTTCTTAGGTCTTTGCCTGAGAGATTTAGACCTAAGGTTACAATGATTGAAGAGAGTATGGATCTGGACATGATTAAGATAGAAGAACTTGTAGGATCCCTTCAAACCTATGAACTCACCATCTCACAACCTAAGTAAATCAAGTCCATAGTACTGAACATGGTCAGAGAAGAAGAGTCTGAGGCATCTGACATAGAAACCCTTAGAGATAAGGAAATAGCTTATTTCGTAAAGAAATTTCAGAAAGCTTTAAAGGGCAAGAGATGGCCCCAAGACAAAAAGAGAGGAGCCCCTAGTAAATTTCAAAAAGAGAAGTTTGATAAACCAACTGCTAGGAATTCTAGTAAGAAATCTCAAGTTGTTAGGTGCCATGAGTGTCAGGGATTTGGGCACTATAGGAATGAATGTCCTAACTTTAAGAAAAATCTGAAAAAGGGAAGGAGTAAGGCATTAGCTGTGTCATTGACTGATGATGATTCAAGCTCAAGTGATAAAAGTGATTTCTCCAACAGTGAAGATGAAAAGGGTTATATGGTTTTTGTGTCTACAGTTAAGAGTGAGTCAGATAAGGACAGTGGGAAGGTTGAAGAGGATGTAGAGAGTGAGAAGTCTAGTGAAGATACTGAGGATGAGACGGATATACATGAGGCTTACCAACTTCTGTTTAAGGAGAGTCTCAAGATCAAAAAGGTAAATAAGGCCCCATTTAAGAAGGTAGACGAGCTTGAGAGAGAGAAAGAGAGACTCACTAATGATCTTTAGGTCTCATCTAAAAACCTTAGAGAGTTGAAGTGTGTTAATGAGAAGCTAGAGGACAAGATTAAGACACTAACTTGTGAGTTAGAGAAATCTAATACTCAACTGTAGTCTTTTATGAGTGGGACTAAGAAACTAGACGATATGTTAGGAATGAACAAACCAACTGGGAATAGGCAAGGTCTAGAATTTGTGAAGAGCGATAGCAACATGACTAGTTCATCCAAGACCACATTCGTGCCTGCTTCCAACTATTCTAGTATTTCAATCAATCGTGAATCCAAAAGTAAGAGTGTCACTGAACTGAATGCCACAAGAGCCCGTAAGATTTCCACACCAAAAGTTCAGCACCAACAATCACATGCATTTGAGCCTAGGCTCATACCCACTTGTCATCACTGTGGTGCTTTAGGACACATAAGACCTAAGTGTCATAAGCTAGCAGATAGGAATAGAAGTCAGGATATCCCTAGTCAAGTAAACTTCCTTTTAAATCAGGTTAGTCACTTAACTGAGATGGTGACAAAATTGACTAGGATCACCTCGATCTCTAGAAAAGTTTGGGTCAAGAAATCTGATATGGGTAGGTATAGTGAGAATTCAAATTGTTCTGTAGCTCATGTTGCATATAAGGCTCAAAATAAATGTATGTGGTATCTTGATAGTGCTTGTTCTAAACACATGTGTGGTAATAAGGCCTTATTCTCTACCTTTGATGATTGCAATGGTGGTGTAGTTACCTTTGGAGACAGGGGCACGACCCCTATCCGTGGTAACGACACCATCAACATATCTGGACTTCCTACTATATCTAATGTGCTTTATGTAGAGGGTCTTAAGTCCAATCTGTTGAGCATTAATCAAATTTGTGATGTAGACTATGAAGTGAGTTTTGTTCAAAAGAGATGTATTATTTATGACTCTTCAGGTGGTATTGTCCTTGAAGGTGTTATAACGTCTGATAACTGTTATGGAGTTCTCCCAAACTCTAACTATGTGTGCAGCAGTGCTAAAATTGATAAGTCCGAACTTTGGCATCAAAGACTCGGCCATATTAACTATAAAAGCACGTCAAAATTAGTCAAAAAGAAAATTGTTCATGGTTTACCTAAAATTGAACAAAATGAAAATGCTTTGTGCAACTCGTGTCAACAAGGAAAACAACTTAGGATAAACCATAAACAAACATCTAAAATCTTGACAAACAGACCCTTAGAACTTCTCCATATGGATTTAATGGGACCTTCTAGGATTGAGAGCCTAGGAGGTAAACGTTATATTCTTGTTGTGGTAGACGATTTCTCTCGATACACTTGGATTGAGCTACTAAGAGAAAAATTCGAGACTTGTGATCTGGTTAAATTCTTGTGTAAAAGACTCAGAATTGAACAAAATCTTTCCATTTCTAAGGTTCGAAGTGATCATAGAAAAGAGTTTGAAAACTCTAATCTTGAAAACTTCTATTTGGAGGAGGGAATTTAGCATGAGTTCTCCTCACAATCACTCCACAGCAAAATGGGGTTGTTGAGAGGAAAAACAGAGTGCTACAAAAAGTGGCTAGAGTCATGCTTCATGGCAAGGATCTAGCAATGCATTTCTGGGGTGAAGCTATTAACACTACTTACCACATAGTGAACAAAGTATACCTGAGACCGAAAATCGATAAGATTCCTTATGAGATCTAGAAGGGCAATAAGCCTACTGTTAAATACTTTCGTGTGTTTGGCAGCAAGTGCTACATTTTGAGAGACAGAGAAAACTTAGGCAAGTTTGATTCCAAAAGTGATGAAGGATTTTTTCTAGGGTACTCTAGGAACAGTAGAGCCTATCGAGTATACAACTTACGTACTCAGAATGTCATGGAGTCTATAAATATTGTTGTTGATGATGCTTTCTCTAAGGGAGAGAGCATTGAAAATGAGGTAGATTTAGATAATCTAAGTGATGATCAAGGACCCACAACTGAAGATAAAGAACAATCAATTCCAAAATCTCCACGATCCCCTAAAGGCATAGACATTTCTGTTAAGGATCCTTCACCTAGTGAACAAACTAAGCTTCCCAGAGAACCATCATCTAGGGTCAAATCTAACCATCCTAAGGTCAAAATCATTGGGGATCTAGATGAAGGTATGAGATTAAGAAAGAGAGCTCTGAATAACCTAACCTATACAATTTACGTATCCCAGATTGAGCCTAAGAAAGTTGAGGAAGCTCTTAAAGATGAATGTTGGGTGAATGCAATGCATGATGAGCTTAATCAATTTGTTCGAAACAATGTTTGGTATCTAGTGCCTAGGCTTGATGATTGCAATGTGATAGGTACTAAGTGGATTTTCAAGAACAAGATCGATGATCAGGGCACCATAACAAGAAATAATGCTAGGCTAGTTGCTCACGGGTACACCCAAGTTGAAGGGATAGATTTTGATGAGACATTTGCCCCTGTTGCACGTCTTGAGTCCATTCACATCCTTTTTACGGTTGCTTGTACTTTAGAGTTCAAACTGTATCAAATGGATGTCAAGAGCGTCTTCTTGAATGGAGTACTTCAAGAAGAGGCATATGTTGAACATCCCAAATGATTCATCGATCCTAAGTTTCCCTATTATGTCTACAAATTGAATAAAGCCTTGTATGGTCTGAAACAAGATCCTAGAGCTTGGTATGACAGACTCACTGCACATCTCGTTGATCATGGTTTTTCATGAGGTGGTGCAGGCAGGAACTCTATTCATTAGACATATTGAAGAAACCATAACTATAGCACATATCTATGTTGATGATATTGTGTTTGGCTCTCCCATTGACTCCATTGCTCATGAATTTGTCAAATGTATAAAACGAGAATTTGAAATGAGCATGGTTGGAGAGCTAAGTTACTTCCTTGGCCTTCAAGTAAAGCAAACTGACTATGGGTTGTTTACTCTCAGTCAAAATATGCCAAAGATCTAGTTAAGCGATTTGGACTGGATAGTAAAAAACACACAAGGACACCTATGAGCACGAATGCTAAGTTAGGTCATGATCCTATAGGTAGAAGTGTTGATCAGACATTGTATAGGAGTATGATAGGTAGCTTACTCTACCTTACAGCTAGTAGACCTGACATAGCTTTCAGTGTTGGCGTGTGTGCGAGATTTCAGGCAGATCCTAAGGAATCCCATTTTAATGCAGTGAGACGTATCATTAGGTATGTGAATGGGATTGTAAATCATGGGATCTTATATTCCAGAGAGTCAAATCTTGAACTCACCGACTATTCGATGCCGATTGGGTTGGAAATGCAGATGATAAGAAGAGTACCTCAGGTGGATGCTTCTATGTTGGTTCTAATTTTGTGTCATAGATGAGTAAGAAACAAAACTCAGTTTCTCTATCTACAGCCGAGGCAGAATACATTGCAGCCAGTAGCTGCTGTACTTAATTGCTTTGTATGAAGTAAATGTTGAGTGATTATGGGATAAATCAGGGCACCATGACCGTGTTTTGTGATAACACCAATGCTATCAACATCTCCAAAAATCTTGTTCAACATTCTAGGACTAAACATATTGATATTTGTCATCACTTTATCCGTGAACTTGTTGAGTCCAATGTGATATCCTTTGAACACATTGCTATAGAAAATCAGCTTGTAGATCTGTTCACTAAACCTTTAGATGGTCTGAGGTTCGAGTCACGTAGGAAGGCTGTTGGTGTTTGTGTACCTCCTTGACCAGTTTTATAGAAACATTCATGTACAGCTCACCTTCGTGTCCATTTTTTGCATTCATTTCATTGCATGTTCATTTTGTTTGCATTTATCTTCTTCATATGTTTGTCATCTCATCATATAAAAATAAATAAATAAATAAATTGAAGTGACACAACTGTGTGGCGCATTCTTAAAATTAAAAAAAAATAAAAAGGGAAATTTCTAAAGCTTGATATATAATTCTGAAACTTGTATGTTGTGACCGTGTATGAGCTAAAATGGATAAGTTGTAGCATTATTTCCATTGCTTGTTTAGGTCATCATTGAGTACTTAGTATAGGTGTCTTCATGTACCATCTGTACTGCACTCACTATGAATTTGTTAGTGGGACTCTACCATGTGTGTGAGATTTGGGATGACTGTCACATGTTAATAGGGTGACTTTGAACATGAATTGACCCATTTTTTGTAGACCTAAACCCGAAAACAATTCCCCCATTATATGAAAGCTCATATCTTAATATTCTTCTTCAGGGCCTACTTGACTTGAGCAATTAAGCGTGCGGGGTCTCTTAAAACCTGGTGCCTATGGTTAACTAACTTGTGTTAACCGGCTTAAAGCTTGCTACCGGGGTCATCTTAGTCGCCTAATGGAGAAGAACCTGCACTTAAGATGAAAAATTA